CTTGAGAATACAACTTATCTATCATAAGATATTAAATTATTAATAATTGCCTTACTAAGGAACTGCAACTTGGTTTCTGATTAGGATAAGGCTCAGAATGAATATTTCCAAAGTTGGGACTATTATAGAACAACAGTGGTGAAGGTAAGGAGGGGGCAGGTTTGTGTGAAGTTCACAAATAACCTTTAAAGCTAGTCCTGTGCTTCTTCCAGTGTTCAAAATTGACTCCATAAACTTAGGTAAAAGGAAAAAGAACCCAAATGAACTGATAAATATCGAACCAATTCTCTGTCTTTGAGGTACTCTTTTTAAGTCTGAAAATCTACAAACAGAGGGCAGGTCTTGTAGGACTTATGGTATTGGGCTAACAATGTGTGGACGGCCAAGCTCTGATGGAACATGCAGTGGACTCTGTTTTGTGTCTCTCCCTAACAATTTCTACATAATAATTTCTGGTCAAAAATTTGTTCTTCTCACTCTTTCATCCTAGAAAAAGGGATGGTCTTAATATTTTTTTTCCTTCTGTATGTATATTTTTGCCCTTTACAGGTAATTTTCCTCACAGAATTGGTCATCACATCTAAATTCTGAATTAGAGACGTGATTCATCTCCACAAGATGACACGATGACTCAGCTTGGGTGCAGGACTCTGAGGGTTTAAATGTGGAGTGTGGAATGGAACTGGGAAACTCCTCCAATGCTGGAAAGAAAAAAGTATCTCAGACTTCTGAAATGGCCTTGAAATTGGCTCAGACTGAACTTTAATTTTACTCTTGGCAAAAGTACAAACTTAAAAACAGTCATCTTTGAAATGGAAAAAGTTTAAGAACTACCGTATGGATTCTTAAGTTATTTTAAGGGCATCTGTCATTTCAAATGAAAGTTCCAGGTTCAGTTTTAAGAGTAAGATGGCAGCTAATTAGTTTTTCAACATTTTGACACAAAAGGTCAAATATCAGGAGGCTGCTTTTTATACCACGTTATAAAAAGAATTTTTTTTTTTTTTGCCTTTGGGTGGCATTCTGTGCATATATCTAATATATCTATTTAACACAAGTCTCTTGGCCAAAAGACATTTGACGTTGAATTTTGGCTGGGAGGTAACAGAAGTGATATAGGATCTACCTCTTCCTCACTATTCCCACTCTACATTTCCCATCCCCAAAGGGTAATCTCTTCAATCGAACTTACCAGCAGATAAAGAGAAAATTAAGAATATAAGATATTTTCCTTGAGTTTTTGGAGTGGAATGAACAATTAAGAAGA